AAGTTGTTGTTTGAAAAGGAATTGAAGTTTTTAATTTGTTTTGTTTTTTGATTATTATTGTTTGAAATTAATTTTGGAAAAATGGGGGCAGATATAAGATTTTTTTTCTTCTTTCTGCCTCCTTTCATTTCAAGTGTGATTTTTTTTTTCTTTATTGTGTTTAAGATTTTTATTTTTATATGAAATGAATAAAAAAAACTGATCCACCTTTACTGACAGGTAGAGCTTTGCAGCAGGTAGTGGGGACACTACCCCCCCCGTATGACTGAAGGAATAACTCACCTGCATCGTTGGCATCATCCAGCTTGGGAATGCCTTTGATCTTGCTGTGTTTGACAGACGAGCACTTCTTGTTCAGCTGTGTCTGAGCTTTGAACTTCACCCAGTTGAGTATACTCTCTACAATGCCACAGTTGGTTGCCTGTAGATGACAGAGACAAAAAGCTGTCAGGGTCTGTGATCTCCACCCAACAAGAACTCAACAAGACCAGTGGGAGGTGTCCTTACAGCCCGAACAAACTTGTCTGACAGGACGCACTTGGACCCAAAGCTCTTCATCTGCAGAGTCATGTTCTCCTTGGTCTGGGAGTCGAACGATGGATTCTCTATCAGTGAATTCACAAAAACCCAGATGTGGTTCTTCACCTGAGGCACAGACAAGAGGAAGGTTAAACGTTTTAAACACACACAGCAGCTGGTGGTTTGATTCTTTGTGCAGTTACCTGGAAGGGTTTGACTGACACGCCTGCTTTGTTCTTCTTCTTCACCACTTCAATAAGTTTGGTCACAATCTGGTCCACCACATAGTCAACATGTCTGCCCCCCTGAGACACCCAGCAGAGTCCTGAAGTTAGTCACATGCTTTCAGCCTCCTGTCCTCTCAAACACCAATCACATACCTTTGTGGTGGCAATGCTGTTAACGAAGCTGATCTGCTGGAATCCCTTCTCACTCATGGTGAGACACACTTCCCACCGCTCATTCACAGTTTCATGAACCACCTTCAGAGGGACACCCGTCTCATCCAGCTTGTCCTTCACATACAAATCCACATAGCTGCGGAACCCGTGGACCTGCAGTAGGACAGAGGACAGACARATTTACTTAAACTTTACTTGAATCCAGACCAAAAGAAAGAAAGAAAAAAGTGTTGAGAGTCTCACAGGTAATTTCTTTCCATTCAGAGAAACTTTAACGCCTTTACAGGAGCCGGCTACATCATATACTCTGCGGGTGAGAAGTGCTACAACATCCTTGTCCAGTTTCTCCATCTTGAACTTGGACAGGTCTGGTTGGAACGTCACACAGGTGAAGTCATCCCCATCGAAGAACTTGACTTTGGAGTCAGTGGTCTTTGTCATGTTGTTCTGCCAGGTCTGTGTAGGGTCAAACATACGCCTGCTGTTAGAAACATCTTTACATACTGCAGTGTAATAAAACATCCTGTGCACTATTCTGAAACAGTGACCACCCCTGCTGTAACAAGTGGACCATGACCCTAAAAATAAATCAGAATATCACAACACCCAGTGACAAAAACAAGTGTGCCGGCACCATCCTTCAAAGTACAACTGTTCCAGTCTTACCTGAGCTCTGACCGCAGATGACCATCCTAAAAAAACAGCATTTACTTCATTCACACAGCAAATTACATCTGAGGAGACTTCAGATCAAAATGCAGGGATGCAAACAATTAATCGACTTATGATTAATTGTCGAATAATGATTTATTAGATTAAAATTCATTCCATTTGATTAATTGAAAACATCAGTTTAAACCTTATTTCAGTGTAGTTTTGCCTTCATCCAGCAGAGGGCGCTGCTACTCTACCTTGGCCCTGTTAAACTGAGCAGGAAGCCGTCTCGATGTGGGCGGGACCGCAAACGCGCGAGTCTTATTTTATTTTATTTGCGACACAACAACAATAATGGACTACACCAAACTGGAAAGAAAAGCACCGAAGGCTGTACCGGGACTATCCAGCAGTATGACGCTGAAAACGAGAGCAGGACCGACAGCGAACAGGTAAGCTAACTGTGGCTAACGTTAGCGTCCTCTTGTTGAGTTTAACTCTGTGTGAAAGAACAAAACAAAAACAAAAACATTACAGTCGATATAAATATGAAGTTAATCTAATCTGTGTGACGTAACCTGGTCAGTGAACCAATCTAATGAACAGTAACTGACCATCAGGCTATGAAGCCCAGCTAAGATAGAAGCAGAGGGAAAACAAACAAACAAACAAACAAACAAACAAACAAACAAACAAACAGATTGCCAGTACTCATTTGTATCTCATGTCTTTCAGGGACATTTTATTATGTTCCTAGTTTGTTTTTGAGTTAATCTTTATCTTAAAATATTTCCCTGTGTAAAATGATAGTTTTTCATCTTCAGAGTGGATTAGATGTTTTACTTATTTTATTCTTTCTTTTTTTTTCAACTAGCAACTTAGATTCCTGTTTTGTTATATTTTATAAATATGTCCAAGTTTAATAATGTGACAGAAATCCACATTTCTCTCTTGATTTATTCTGTGTTTAACACAGCTGGTACAATAAAATGTTAAAATAATACTGTACTTTTTTATTTAGTGTGTAAAAAATTAGCCCTTCATGTCATAGAAAGACTCTTGATTCAAGAGAAATGTCAGGTTTTTAGGAAAATTGCCGCTTATCAATTAATCGTTAGTCGATCGATAAGATCAATCAATTTTAGATTAATCCATTAATCGATAACTTGCATCCCTAGTGCAAACTTCATCTTTTTTTAGCTTTATGTTTTTACAGGTCTAGCTCACCCTCCACACATATAATATGATGAACAGCGCCCCCGTGTGGCAGAGCCAGCCTGTCTGTGGCTAACCACTCATAACTCTGCTGCAGTTCAGGTCAGAGGCTCAACAAGGAAGAAACAAAGATGGCCTCCATAGGAGAGATCCGAAGCTAAAACCACTGCTAAGCAACGAGAACTCCAAAAAACATCCTGATCTTCTGGAAAATATCCTGTGGACAACAGCAAAACCTTCTGAAGGGTGTTTGTCCCGTTACAGCTGGACTAAAACAAACAGCAACAGTCAAACGTAGGGGTGGTAGTGCGATGGTCCAAGCAAAGATCAGCCCAGAGATCCGGACCCCCGGCACAAACACAGTAACGTTGAACCAGGAGGACTGTGACCATCAGGGAAACAAACCAGCAACTGTTCAAAAGAATGGGCCAGCGCAGAAGAGCAGTAAAAAGAACAGGCTTGATCATCACTGGGTTGAGGCACTGATTATAAGGCTGAGTTCACTGCATTAAAACAACCCGTCCACAGGACCTACAAACCTGTTTCTGATGGTCAGCTGGAGTGCTGACACCAGAATCCAGACTGCAGAAATGACCCTAACAGAGAAATTAAAGGCACCTCACCTGTTTGAAACTGTGTCTGTACTCTTTGCAGGCAGTTTCCACGGTGAACTTGGTACTGAAGATGTTGCAGAGTTTAGCACCATACCCGTTCCTTCCACCTGCACACAAATATGGACAAAACCTCTGAGTCGTGGTTTTACTTTGCAACGATAACGACAGGTTGATACACACCAGCATGACAAGTACTCTTCAGTTGTTTCTGGGATTTCACTGAAATCAGTTTAACTGAGCCTCAACCAATGAACAGACTTTAAAAAAGGTGGATATAAAAAATGAACGATGAAAAAGGGTTATATGATCTGTTGGTGCTCAGAGTATGTGTTGCTGAAGGCTTTCAGCTACTACCACACCAAGTTTTACTTCTGACTTATGAGTTCTGACCTGACCTCTGCTCCACATTCAGGATGTGTTGGCTCTAACACAAGGCATTGTAAATGAAAAGTTCCCAGCTATGTACTCACTTTGATTCATTTTATTGCTGTACTATTATTTGTCTCAACATGTTGATGTGTTTTGTGATATTGTATATTATGATCTTGAGTTGTTTTGTCTTCCTGCCTCAGGACTATAGATGTAAATGAGCAACTATGCTATAGTGTTGCTCATTTACAGTCTATGCAGAAGTATAAGTTGTTCATTAATGTGCACTGTCCTGATAAAATAAAATAATTTAACCACTGATTGATTTCTGAGAATATATACACTTACATATTCAGCTGTCTTTAAAGCTGTAATTTAAAATGTTAAATAAGAGTTTGTGAGAGTTTAGCACACAGAGTGACTTTTACTGTTTTTTAAATGCTGGAATGTTTTATTGTAAAGAAACAGGAACCTGAGTGAAATCACATGGTACAGATTGTATTCTGGTGTTGATTCTTTAAAAACAGAAGCTACTGGACTTGTGTTCTGTAGTTTTACTTCTCATCCAGTGATATTCTCAGTTCAGAACTAAAGAATTAGGAGGTCCAAGAATCCCTCCCTGAGGAGTACCAGCCTCTGTCTGAGAGCTCTGTCAGGACTGAAATGGACCTCAGGGAGACAAACAGCTGCTTTGGTTTTAAACTATTGTTTCTGTTAATCAGATGTTCCCACCTGTGACCTTCTTCTCATCATCGTCATAGTTACTGGAGGTGAGCAGATGACCAAAAATAAGAGCTGGAACGTACATCTTCTCAACCTTATGCTCAACCACAGGAATCCCTTTTCCATTGTTCCAGATGGTGATGGTGTTGGATTCTCTGGTGAGGTCAGCAGAAAACAGCAAAAGTTATAAATTTAATAACTAACATGTTTTCAAGTCATTTGTTTGTTTTCCACTGGAACCCACAGTTTGAGATGACTAGAAACAAGTCAAAATTATTTTACACYGTATTAACACTTCTAAGATAAATATTCATTTCTAAAATCAGCTATAAACTGTGGCAGGTTGAGAAAACACACTTTATATCCAGTTTATCATTGAGCAGCTGAAAACAATGGCAATGTTTTATTTAACACTTCTATGTTGCTGAAAAAACATCAGATAAAACCAGCAGCAGATCCAGGTTAGACC